TATCTTATATTTTTCCCTTCAAAATTAGAGTCTGCTTCCCCTCACCTTGAGTATGGGCTTTACTTAGTGAATCACTTTTAATGAATAAAATGCATTTGAAGTGACAATTTGTGACATCCAAGATTGAGACCTAAAGGATATTATGGCTTTCTCCTTGTTCTTTGTCATGGATCACTCATTCTGAGAAAGCTAGCTGTCATGCCATGAGAATAATTAAGCAACCCTATGGAGAGACTCATATGGCAAAAAACTGAGGCCTCGTACTAACAACTATGTAAGTGAGTGAGCCACTCAGAAGTGGATCTGTTGCAGGAAGTGACATCCGACGGAGGAAACTGGATGCTTAGACAACTTTGTTAGAGGAAGGAGAATTTATTGCCGGCAGAGAGCATGGGACATTCAACACACCCAAAGCTCGATCTCCACATAGTTAGATTTATTACAGCTTATATTCCTTCAGTGTCCACTCAAGGAGTGTATGATTCCTTTGTCTGAGGTTTCACATGTGCCTCATGACTCAGGATGGGACAGGGAGCTTCGGGTTGGAGGCTGTAAGCGGGGAGGAATTTCCAGACCACTGATCTTACAGTCGTTTGTCTTGCGACCTTGACATTATCTGCATTGATATAAGATTCTCAGAGAGACGGGACATCGAGGCTATAAGTAGGAAGCGACACTTATTGATGCCAGCACCTGCTCAGCAGATTCCTATCCAAAGGCTGAGCCCCTATTATAACATAACAAGCAGTTTTACACAGTCTTGTTATTTCTACACAGATACAGAGATAAGGAAGGACATTAGTTGGTTGGCAAGCCATGAATCAATAGATGTGAGCTGGAGAGTCCTTGAGGTAGGGGAGGTAGCTATGGGAAAACATGTTAGCTGGAGAGTCCTGGAAAGGGGAGAGAGGGCAGTTAGAAATGGGCTTTAACTGGCTGAGTGGGTCATTTCTGCAAGTCCTTTCCTTTGCATTTTTTTAGATGCCTCCTCTCTTCTGTTAGATCCTCCAACCTTCTGATAACTGTACCTCCGGCTGATATATTAACAAGAACCTCATTAGAGAACCAGAGGAAGAACCACACAGCTAAGCTACTTCTGACTTCCTGATCCACAGAAACAATGAAATAATGATTTTTTGGGGGGGACTACTAAATTTGGAGTAAATTGTTATGTAGCCATAGACAGATAATAGAGACATCAAGGCCTAGAGATCTTGATGAAACCAAAGAAAAAGTGTGGGTCAAAGAGCTTTAAAGAATAATAGGAAAAAAAATGTTTGAATTTAAAATTTCAGAGATGAAGTAGTTCTCTTAGCGATAACAAAGTCAAGAGTATGGCTATTGTGGGTGGCTGAAGTAGAGTGGGAATAAAGGTTACTAGATATGAGGATATCATGTGTCCACAAGAATACTGAAGTTACTCAGAGTCACCAAATACCATTAGATAAAAGCCCTTATAGAATCTTAGAGTGTCAGTGCTAGAAAGGACTTAGCCTTGTAAATCATCTAATCCAGTTGGACTTGATTAGTTCTCAAAGTGTAGACCAAAGGAAAATCCACATTAGAAACAGCTGAGAAACTCTTGTAAAATTCCCTTACATCAGAACTAATAAATAGCAATATGCAGTGCTAGTATCCAGGAATCTTCATTTTATCAAATTGTCCAGGTGACTCTTATGCATGTTAATTTTCAGCACCTCTGGTCTAGTTCAACTCCTTTATTTTATAAGACTTCTCTTTCAAAGGCCAAGAATTATTTTGATTCTAATATTTTGCATTATACAAAACAGCCTTTTGTGCCTAAAGCAATCAGTAGCAATCAGTAAATCTATAAAAATAAACAATATTTAAATAATATTTAAAGTAAATGTTTTTTAAAAAAGAAAATTGAAATTCTATAGATATGATCTGGCTCTGGCCTGACTTTTCTACCAATTTCTGTCCCACTCCCGACTTCCAGTAAGTTTGTTCCCACATCAGGATTTTTGCATTTGTTGTTCCCTCTCCCTGGACCCTTATGTTACTCAAGTCTCAGCTGAAGTGTCTGCTCCTTGCAGAAGTAGTCTCCATTCTCCCAAACTAAAATAACTCTTACCCCAACACACTCACCCTCTGTAGTATTTATCACTATTCAAAATAATTTTTTCTTATTTTGTTTTCATAATCAAAAATTTATAGTTAAGCTCTACCAGACCAGGAATTGTGTGTTTTGTTCAGTGCTTCATTTCTAACATGTAGAACAATGACATGCTGTGGTGCCCCACGGCAAGAGTAGGAGTAGTCAGATCTGAATGCAGACAATAAGGAATGGATTATTATTTTTAGAGAATTTAAAATCAATTTTAAAATGAAATAAAATCATTCTGCTTTCTATTATCACCACATGCTCTCAATTCTAAGCATTGTCAGTGATAAAATACTCCTTCCCCAGAAAACCTTTTTTTTTTTTTTTTGGTTTACGTTCTAAATAAAATTTGTGGTACTGAGTTTTAATACTATACATATAACTTTTCAAATACATACATTTTGATAACTTATCCTTTAGCAAACATCATGTGCTTCATGAAAGTTAATTTGGAGAATTCTCAGTTATACAGTAGATCTCCATAAAAAAAAAAAAAAAGGTTGACTAAACTACACACATTCCTTTAGAAGATAAGTTCATAGAGTTTCCAAATTGTTGGAGCTCAGCTTTGATGCGGTTTGTGTCTCCATCTCTTATGGTGCTACATATACCTGCATTTAAAAAGTAGATTAGAAATGAACAATGACAGCACCATGATTATAAAAGAGAAACAGAACCTGGATTGCTTCAATTCTGGCATCTTATGTGATCACTTTGCGTTTTTATTTGTGTTTAAAATTTAAAACACAGAAACAGTGCAAAATTTGAGGTGTAATTTTTTTTTGTTTGGAGAATGTAACTTTTAATTCATACATAAAACATTTTACACAATTTGATTTTTTTATGGTGTGAAACTTTAGATGAGGTTATTAATCAGACAGAAAATCATGTGCGAACAGCCAGAATTAGCCTTGAATAATGCAAAATAAAATTGTTCCTTAAAGATTAGGTCACAGAAATTGTGGAAAAAGAGATTTACTAAACAACAACCATACAAGTAAGGAAATGGATACTTACATGGGCAAAATATTCAAATGTTAAAAAAAAATAGTAGGAGAAAAGACAAAAGATGCTGGGCTTATTTGCCAAAAGAGACCAAAAGGGCACTAATTGAATGCCTTGGTCATTTGTACCAAGCACTGGACACTTTTTCTAAAACAATGGGTCAAATAATGTCAAAATTTCCTCTCATTCAGATGTTTTCACTGATTTTTGCAGAAAAACTTCTGAAGTTTTTACTGATTATTCTAGAAATCTATGATTACTTTCTGGTGAAGATATTTTAGTTTAAATTTTCAAATGTGAAAAATTTGAATGCCTTTGGATCTGATCCTAAAGAAACAAAGGCATGGAAGGTATTGTAACTCATGAAACTTGTGAAATAAGATTTTTGTGATTCTCTTCCAAACTTATTCACAATTTTGAGATCGTTCCTATATCCGTTGTTTAATATAAAATCAACTTTACTTATATAAAAATTAATAAAGTGTTAATCTATCAACTGTTAACAAAGGAAGATTGACAAATCCACCTATACTATCTATTGAATATATAGAAATATTAGATTTTGATGAAGTCATTGACAAATATGCAGTGTTAAAGGTCAAAGCGGAAACTATAATAATATTATTCATTACCATGGTAAACCAATATGTAGGTATAAGTTCTATCTCCTTTAAAAATATATTAATACAACTAGAAAACACAGATCAATTACTTTTTTTGTACTGTACTATTTATTTTCTATGTTAATTTTATGATAGGTAAAGAAGTTCAATAAAAGAAACTTTCTTTTATGGTCTTTATTAGTAAATAATTTTATCATTATTTCTTAAAATAATTTTTATAGAGGAGGAGGCTGTTAAAAATTATCTGCTTCGGGTGTCAAACATGCTAGATATGTTACTGATGCCTGGTATATAGTTCATACTTAAATGTTTATTTAATGAATAAATGAATTAATATTGGGCACGTTGATGGGCAGATTATGAGCATCTTCTTTCCTTAGAATCATTCACTGGAGGCCTAGGGGCGATTTTGCTCCTTCGAAAATATTGCACCTATCCACAATGCATTTTCTTTACAGCACCAAAATGATCCCTTTAAAAAATCTAATGTAGATCACGCCATATCTTTGCTCAAAACTCTCCACTGACTTCCCATTTTATTCAGAATCAAATCCAAAAACTATATGGTTGTACAAAATGTCTCTACACAATGTGTTATTTCAGTCCCTCTGAATTCATCACTCCAGGCACTCTGGCCTTTTTCGCTGCTGTTCCTTCTGCTTGGAACACTCTTCCCTAAATTCCTCCAAGACTTTTCTCAAATGTCACCTTACCAGAAAACCTTTCCCTAACCTATCTAAATCCATACTGTTTTCTTCTCCTTCATAGCATCTGGCACTTTGTAACACTTATTTGTCTCTCTTTTCCTTCTGGAACCGTAAACTCCATGAGAGGAGGCACAATATTTTGTTCTCTACCTTGAACAAGTGCCTGGCATATAGTAGGCGTTTAGTCACCTAGTCTTAGAATGTATGAACTTGCCTATATATCACAGAGGTAACGTTTCCTTTGTGACTAGTTGTTTATTAAGGCAGCTGGACTTGAGTTTTAAAACCTTATGGGGACAAATTACATATTCCTGAAACAACGAAAATAATTAATACTTCTGCACCTAGCAAAATAGCTATCGACTAGACTATGAAGGCTTTATTAGGGATAGGAACAGTCAACCATAAGGATAAATCATTTTCTCCGGAAGACAGCTGACCAATTGTAGCGGCTTCCAAAAGAAGCTCGGGGAGGGCGGAGAAAGGGCGGGAGCCGGCAGATAAGAGGCGTACCTGGGCGGGGCCACAGTGAGGGGGTTGGGTGGGGGGGGTTGGGGAAGAGCCGTGTTGAACTGTTTTGTCCGTCTTCGCGCTCCGTAGGAAAACTTGGGCGGACAGGGTCGCAGATATGGCGGCCATTAGGGTAAGTAAGAAAAAAAATTTAGTTTCTCTGGGTGCAGATAGCATTCTAGTATCTATAGAAGGGAACCCCAAAGCAAGAGGCGGGGTGGAAGTGGGGTTGTGAGGTAATTGGCAAGGTCAGGGAATCTTTAACGTTCAAAGTCCGATGATATCCGCCTCTCCCCTTTAGAGTTTTCTCAGCGTAGGACAGCAGTCTCTCCTAACTAAATCCCCTGGGGTTGACAGTTTATACTGCGGCACAGTGAAAACTGGAAAACGGCTAGGTGAAAACGGCCGGCCGGCCGGCCGATATGCAGCAGCAGACTTTTGGGTCTTGAGCTGAAACAAAGGAAAGAATCCTGGGCATTTGTCTGGGTTCACTGGGCGGGGCCTCATGACCCTTTGAAGGACTTGCTTCAGACGTTATTTGGAGTGAAATGACCAGGAAAGAGACATCTCAGTCTCTCTGAAGTGCACAAATTTCTATTACTATTGTTAATCTCCGGGTTTGAATAACAAGCCTAAATTTCTTTTGAGTTCTGTATGGGAAAAGGTGCCACTTAGGACTCTGTACAGGAAGTGACTCAGCTGGTTGATAGCAGCAGTTTCCCAGTAGGTTTCAAAAACAGTAGTTGAGAAATATATATGTAGCGGGGTTTTAAGTATTAAATGCGTTGCTTTCAGGAGATACAAACATGAATAATTCAGTTTAGTCAGTGTTTAAGCTGGCTCAGTATGTCTTGAGTCGCCATTCTCCATTTCTGCAATTCTGGCTCTCATAATTTATTTGAGTTATCACGACACCCTTCTAACTGGACTCTTGCCGGCTCTCATGGAATCTGTTTTTCCTTGCACTGCCAGAGTAGTACTTCTCCTAAAATGCACATTTGACTATGACTCTCTCCTACTTAAAAATTGTTATTGGCACGCTATATATTATCTGTCTTTTGGGGTCAGGTCAGAGTCCTATGTCTAAAACACCTGACCCTGCCTTGGCTTTCCAGGTTCATCTCCTGTCTCTCAGGAACTCTCTTAACATTTGTACTTAAAGCCTTTTACTCTCCTCTTTGGGCCTGAAATGCCCTTTCGGATCCTCATCTAGGTAGTTCCTATTCATTCATTCATTCATTCATTCATTCATTCATTTAACATAATTTTGTACTGCTTCCTCATATGCTAAGCACAAAATGCATTTCCAAGATAGTGCTCCCAGAAAACCGTGGGCATATTCTTACCATAGGACTTATCACATTGTAAATGATAGACTATTTACTTGTATATTCTACTCTTCTAAACTACAAGCTACTTGAGGACAGTAATTATGACATTAATTTTTGTATCCTTAGAATCTAGCACAGGTATGAGATATTAGGAACTCAATAAATTCTATATGAATAAGTAAATGCCAGACAATGAATATAAAAGAGATTAAATTAAGGAGTGGAGATGCAACAGATAACAAAAGTGATTGTGCTTCAGAGTGAGAGAAGTGCCTTCTCTCAGGAGCACACTATAATGTGTTGTCACTGAAGCATAGAGAAGAAGAGAGATTTGAAGTCTTTTGATTTGGCCATTAATTAATAATTGGCAGCTACCATGTATTAAGTGCTTACTACAAGGCCAGCCACTATGTTAAAATACACATGTTATTTCACTTAGTTCTCAAGACAACTTTATGTTGTAGATATTATGATCGCCATTTTACAAATAAAAAACTAAGGTTTGGAGAAGTCAAGTAAATTGTCAAAAGTCATAATGCTAATGAGAGCTGAAGTGATATAAAGAGATATAAGTGAAGTGGTAGAGGGAAAGCCTAGGTTGTAAGGGGTTAAAGAATGGATGAGGGGTGGGAAACTGGCATTCATTTAGCACTTACTTTGACCAGCTGCTTTACACATATTAATTCAGTTTAAACCTCTTGATGACCCTAGGAAATTGGTAGTATCCCCATTTTACACATGAAAAAAACAGACTTAGAAAAAGTGCCTGCTCTAGGTCTTAAAACAGCTGCTAAGTGGAGAAGCCATATTGGAAACACGGGTATATTTGGCCCCAAAGTCCATGATCTTTCTACCAATCCTTGCTTCCTCTGAAAGGATGGTGTATAGTACTCTTTAGAGAAGTGTTGGGGTGAAAGGAAAGAAAGAAATCTTGGGATGGGGGTAGCACATTCCAGAAAAGGTGTCTTTTCATATAAAAAAAAATCAGGAGACTATATGTCAATTGTATCCCAATAAAACTGGGGAAAATGTCAGGATACCTGAGCAGGTTTGGAAACGAGGAAATATGCCAAAAACTAATACAGAGGAAAGATAATAATAGTAATCAGAGCTACTATGTTATTGAACATGTACTGTGCTAAGCATTTTGCTAAGCACTTTGTGTGAATTTTTCTCATTAATGCTTCACAGTGGTCTTATGAGAGGTACTGTTATTATCAGCATTTTACAGGTAAGGAAATTGAGGCTTAGGAAGGTTGAGTATCTTGCCTACCACACAGTCTGCAGTAGAGTAGGATCTGAAATCACATTATCTGAGTAAAGATCAAAGAGCTTAAGCTTGAGGAAGCATCTGGGAGGCCAAGGTTCTAAAAGGGTGATATGTGTTAATTTTGAAGCCCCAGGGTTTAATAGCAAGGAGTCAGGTAGAGGGGAGTCCTGAAGGTTGGTAGATAACTCTGAAAAAAGTTTACATACAGCTTGAAATATAAGAGCTTGTTGAGCAAATGTGCTGGTGGAGCATTGATAATGGAATTAGCCTTGAGGAACAAGAATTGTGCTGATCTCGCCTACTTTTTTTTTTTTCATTGTTGTCCTAGATTTTAGTTAATGTTTACTTTTATTAAATTTTGGGGGGGTTAACATTGGGTAATAACATATGGATATCAGGTGTACAACTCTGTAATATGATATCTGCATACTCTATTGTGTGTTCACCACCAGAAGTCTAGTGTCCTTTAGTCACCATGTATTTGACCCCTTTTACCCTCTTCATCCTCCACCCACCTTCCACTTTAGTACCCACCATTCTGTTGTCTGTATCTATGAGTTTGCTTTTTGTTGGTTTGTACGTTTATTTAGTTTGTTCATTTGTTTCTTTTTGTTTCTTCACATAAGTGAAGTCATACAGTTCTTGTCCTTTTCTGACTTATTTCACTTAGCTTAATCTCAAGATCTATCCATATTGTTGCAAATAGCAGTGTTTAATTTTTTTATGGCTGCATAATATTTCATTGTGTGTGTGTGTGTGCGTGTGCGTGTGTGTGTGTGTGTGTGTGTGTGTGTACACATCTTCTTTATCCAGTCATCCATTGAAGGACATTTATGTTGTTTCCATGTCTTGGCTCTTGTGAATAATGCTGCAGTGAACATAGGGGTACATATACCTTTATGAATAAGTGTTTAAAATTTGGGGGGTAGATACCCAGAAGAGGGATTGCTGGGTCACACTTCATACCTTTTAGAATGGCTATTACTAATAAGATAAGAAATAACAAATGTTGGAGAGAATGTGAAGAAAGGGGAACCCTCACACACTGCTGGTGGAAATGTAAATTGGTGCAGCCAGTATGGAAAACAGTTGTTGTTTCCTCAAAAACTTAAGACTAGAACTACCATATGATCTTGATGACTTGTTAAATCAGAATGGCTGGAGGACTGGCCTTCATTTAAAAGGATTGGAAAGGATGTACTAGTGTCCAACAAAAAACAGATATCATTAATGCCAGAGGTTGAACGAATTTGAGAGAAATTTGGGTCCTGAAAAAGAATTTGTTTATAATAGAATACTTAATATTGGAATGTGGCTACCATTTGTTGAACATTTCCTGTGTGTCAGACATTGTGCTTAGTTATTGGTGTACATTATTCTCTCAAAAATTTTTCTAAGATAATTTTAGTAGCTCAATGATCAGGAGTAGAATAATAAGGAAATCAAAACTGCAGTTGGAGGTTTTAGTCAGAGAAAAGCTTGTTGAGTTTATGATTTTAGTTATAACAAGTTCTGGGTAATGGTAAATTCAGGGTGTTCTCATGGAATGGTTAGCCACAGTGGAGTGAATATAAAGGTCTATGTAGGTGACGTCAAAGAATGGTGAGGTGAGACTTTGGATGGTTTGCCCACATGGACATTAAAGTCACTCAGAATTTTTGCAGGATTTACAGTATAGAAGACTTTAACCAGGATCCTTAATCTTTGATTATGATGAAATAACCAGGAGACAGGTAGATGATAGTATTAAAGATGAATAAATGGATGATATGAGCCTCAAAAGAGCAGGATTACTTTTCTTTTTTTATATAAATTTATTTTTAATTGAAGTATAGTGTAGATAAAGTGTACAAATTATAAATAGCTTGGTTAATTTTCACAAAATGATCATAGTTGTTCAAGCACCTAAACTAAAACCAAAAAACAAAAAACAGGAATATAACCAGCAGCCCCAAAACTCTCTCCTTTGTTCATCCATATAGTTATCCTCTACCATAGACTAATTTTTTCCTATTTTTGAATGTTATATAATATAAATAGATTTATGCAGTATTTGTTATGTTTGGCTTCTTTCACCCAATGTTTGTTTCTGACACTCAGCCATTATGCACGTAACATTAATTCATTCATTCTTATTGCTGAATGATGTTCCAGAGGGTGAGTATATCCAATTTGTTTATCCATTCTTTTGATGGCATTTGAATTATTTTCAGTTTTGAGCTATTACAAATCACACTCCTATGAACATTCTTGTATATTTCTTTGTGGTACATGTAAGTGCACATTTCTTTTGAGCATATACCTAGGGGTGGGAACACCAGGTCATAGGGCATGCAAGTAGTTTTCTGAATTGGTTATACCAATTTACATTTCCATTTATGAGGTTTCTAGTTGTTCCACTTTCTCACTAAATAAAAACAGGTTTTTACCTAAGGGTGGAGAAGTAGTGGCTTAGAAGCAGCATTGGGAATCCGGAAGAAGACAAACTCTACCTCCTGGTTACAGGGAAGCAGTGACCTTAGGGGACAGTCG